TTATGTTGTAGACATATCAATTTTAGGCATTTGAAGCAAAAAGAGCAAAAAGGAAAAAATTTGGAGTCAAAATACAGTTTTTCAGCATCCTGGCGCCAGTGGCCCTATTTTATAGAGAAGAGACACCTGAATCCAGAGAATAACACAGAACTCCAATAAACAAGAGTTAGATGAGCAAAGATGAATTAAGATGGATTGTGGCGGTTTTTGACTAACGATGGATTATGACAGTAATTGCCTATTTTTGAGAGGTTCTAGAAGGCCCCAAGTAATTCAAACGCTCCATGGAGTAATTGAATGCATCTAGACACTTTGGAAATGCTCTTGAATGGAAAGATATGTCTCTTGGATGAAGGGATTTTTCTGATGTGAAGAGGTGTGCCTCTTGGAAAGAGGAGGGAATTTTGAATTCTTTAAAGATAAGGCTGGTGCCCCAATTAAAGTGTGATCTTTTGAGAAGTGTGGAAGGGGTGATGTGAGAGAGAGTGTGATCTTTTGAGAAGTGTGGAAGGGTTGATGTGAGAGAGAGTTGTGAAGGAAGAGTCAATATTTTCTTCTAGAGTTGTAAGAGGAGAGGGAATGTGAGAGAATTCTTCTTCATTACATTTCTAGGAGAGAATTGAGTGTGATTGTAAATAGATAAAGTGCTTATAGGGAACTTCAAGGTATTTGCTTAAGAAGGAGTGTGAGATAAGTTGTGTTCTTTCCTTTCTTTGTTTTGTAAACTTATTTATATATATATAATCTATGTTTTATCATATCCTTCTCATAAATTCTAAGTAGTCTTCTTTATCCTTCTCCCTACAATGAGATATGGTTTTGTGAAGAATTAGTTTTTTTGTAAGATTTTAAATGTCAATAAATTGTAATGATTTGAACTCTGATCTTTATTTAATTTTTGATATGACAAATTGAAATGTTAAATTTTTTTGAGAAACATAAGGTCCGAAAGAGCTATGCTTTCTACAACAAGGTAAGAGTCACATTCAATTTCATGGGTGAGAATGTAGTCTATGGGTTTGAGTGCAAATAAATAGAGAAATATATGTTGATGAGTGCAGAATTACAGATTTTAGGGTGACTGATTAAAATCCCCAATTTGATCCAGTTACTTGGAAACTAAAGCGAGAATGTTAGCCCAGAAGGAAAAGTGGGAGCCAGTATCCTCTCAACCTAACCACAGATTTAAGGACCAAATTTTGAATTAGTCAATGTTCGGAGGGTAAAAAATAGGATTGCTTCTATTTGGCACAATACAATTATATATATAATTTTAAATGATTTTAATTACTTCACAATCCATAAACTGATTGTAAAAGGGAAGGATGCTTTCTTAAATTTAAACTCTTCATTACAAAACTGCTTTTAATCTTAGTAAGCTTAATTTTAAATTTTAGAATATAGCTTTGTTAACTTAGTTAATTTAGCTGTATTTCATTTAGAGTACATTAAATTTACTTTAGATTTGATTTACTTAAGTTTTTGTAGTTTGAATATTGTGTTTTACATTATAATCATAATAATTTCCAACTCCTTATCGGATCAATACTTAGGACTAATTAGAGCCCTTTATTACTTGAGCGACACGTATACTGACGTAATTATCAAGGTTTTACAGCTTAAAGATTGTGTAAAAATAAAACTATTTATACTGAAGTGATTTTTATTGTGATTGATCTGCATATTTACTAATTGTGCTGTCGTGGGTGTTTTCTAGTATTGGAAGATATTTACAACGCATACACAAAAACACCGCATCAATCATCAACATACATTTTAATATTTTTTTCTTTTATTTAAAAAAAAATAAATCTATGAAAATCTGGTAGGTCACTATAGCTTTTTTAGGCCAAAAAAATAATACATTGTAATAATTACACCCTAACTAGTTATAAAGGCTAACACTCTGCTTCGGCCGGGTGCATCTTGAATTAGTGCTAGCCCAGAAAATAATTTAAGAAGCTCATCATGGAATGACCTATCGATGATTCCAACAATTATTGATCCTTGATAGTGGGTAGATGTCCTTTAGACATGGAAGAATGACCTATCGATGATTCCAACAATTATTGATCCTCGACAGTGGGTAGATTTCCTTAGGCATGAAATGTTTAGGTTTTTGAAGTCCACACAAATCCTCTACTTGTAGTTTTTTTTTCTATAAAATCACCACATTCGAGACTCAAGTTGAGTACTGCAACTAAAAAGATGTATATGGTTTCTTTAGGCTTGCGACCCTCCTCTCAAATTGGTCTAGCCAAGGTCAAAATTGAAGACCTTATTTTTTACTTCACTAGTCTGGTGGTAGGATTGACTTTCAGTTGGTGGTAAGCGACGCCAACAAATATCCCTAATATTTTAAAAGCTTACCAAGAAAAGACAACCCGATGCTTCCGAAGGATTTGGATCGACAAGTCCTTCAACCATGCATTAAAGTTTTTTTCATATTAGGAATAAATTATTGGGCCCTCCATTAGACGCAGGGATTTCAAGTATGGTCACACTGGTCTCAAGATTTCTTTCGCACTGGTTCTAGAGATTGAATGACTCCTGCTCCACATTGTCGATTGCCTGAAGGTACTATGTTCGAGACTACTAGGTTCCCCCAAAGATGAAGAGCTCCTAATCACCCAAAAATCTTACTACTACAAGGTATGTTGAGACTACAACCTTGAAGTCATTGAGCAGAGGCTGGTCGAAAATGGATTTGTAGGTTGGTGATGATTCAACCACCAAAAAGTCCTCTATTGATTTGAATTGTTTCTCACCTTCTCCCTAGGTGATTATAGAGTGAACCAACCAGTGCAGTCGGTATGCCATTTTTGAGTCACACCTTATCGATCACTAACTTGAACATAATGTTTACAAAGCTACCAGTGTCAACCAAGTAGGTACCTTATCCTAACAGTGACAATAATAACATCATTGAAGGGTTTCTCCGTAGAGGGCAAATCTACGTTAGAAAATGTGATTGGTAAATGAGTGCTACACTTCAGAGATAAAGTAGTTATGCATAATTCTCATGATGGAAGCATCTTCTAGCTGGCTCACTGAGACTAATTTCAACCTCCTTAGAAAATGACCGGTACCATCCTAGCAATATGGATGACATTCGCCCAACCTGGTTCATTCAAAATTTCTTCAACTGAAGCCTTTATTTACCTCTAGGTCACCTTTTCCAGTGATATAAACTCCTTGATTTTCCTAACTTTGATCAGCTCCTCAACCAGCTCTGGAGGTGTCAACTTTCCTCTGTATTGTGGCCATGGTCTTTGTGATAAGTGCAATACTTCTTGGTGTCTCGAAGAGAGTCTCCTGCTCTAATTGACAACGCTTCTTTAAATTATTTCTTATTTTAGATGGACTCCACTAGCTCGACCGTCGAGACTCTCAGTGAAGTTACCTCTAGAGTCTTGTAATTGTTTAGCGGTCGCTCAATGTGACGAACTGGCTGCTAGTTAGGGTATTGTGCCAGCCCACCCCCTTCCTCCTCCCTGGTTGTCATTCATGTCAGAGCACTTGTTATCTCGGGGCAGCCAATCATCTTCATATCACAACTAAATGAAAGAACATGTATGTTGTCTCTGGAAGCCTTTTTCTATAACTAGTGGGGTGGAATTGAATTCCTCAACCGAAATATGATTGTCGGTCAACTCCAATAGTTTAGGTAAGATCTTTGGTTGCTGGAGACCCAAAACATAACAAAAGGGTCACTCCTTCAACTCCTTAGCTTGGGGGGAGTGTAGTATGTTTTAATCATGAAATGATCCTCTATTTATATAAAAATGGAGTGCAATATATGAAGTTACAATTATATCTTTACTTTAATGGGGACTATATAGGTTATTATTGGTATTTTTCATATATGAACTCTTGGTTCAACCTTCCTCTAACTCAGTCTACCGAACTTAGTCGGTTCTGCTTCATCGGGACCTGTATTAAAACATCTAATCAGTTGACCTTTGATGTTCTTCAGATCGGTCAAACTTGACTGGGTTGGCCATATTAATATGGTTGTCGACCATCGATCTTGTGATAGGAAACTCCCGTCGATGGAGTAAAACTATGTTATCGAGCAGCAGACAAACTATCATAATCTGATAGTCCATGCTTTGAATATGATTTGAACATAACTATGTGATTACTTATGCAATTATGGATTCAAGTTTAGATTTTGAATAATATTT